GATATCCTGGACGTCTACTACGCATACCGACCCGCTGCCTACCTTGAGGTCCTATGCTAGGGGAAGTTGCATTAGGTTGGAAGCGGGTCCAGTGTGGTCAGATCAAGTCACTGAACCAGTTGATAAAGCCTAAGACTACCTGTTTGATTCGTTTTAGGAGACGTAAACTGTCTGGTTGGAGCCCACTAGTGGAAAGGAATCAGTGGTTGGGGATTCTTGTTGACATGGATGAAAATCGGTCACAATGGTGTAGATGAATTCACTTGTTGACATCTTCTAAAGCTAGAACGTGTACAACAGCCGTCATCTTCAGACTGTTTATCCTTTCACATGACATCATATACTTTTATATGATTTTTTGTGTCCTCCTGCTTTCTGCATGCTATTGAGAATTGTGGCAACTTGAGGTGATGTACTAGTGTCCGGTGTTCTACGTTGATTTTGTCTCCCTGTTTGACATTTTTCCATAGATATTTAGGCATAAGAAAAGGTGATTTCTTTTTAACGATGTTCATCAGAAATTACGTCTGTCAATCACCTACCTAGGTACTTATACGCAGCAAAATAAGTTGCATCGAATGTCTGACGTTAAAGCTACAGGAGTACACTGTGACGACTTGACATACATAGAGTAGGAGCACATGCAAAAAAAGTGATTGATTGGAACCATCTAGACAGTTTTATCGAAAGGTCAGGAATAAATAAGCTGGAAGAACAACTAATCACTTACCGTTCAAAAGATTTCATCGTTTATAAATCTACTATTTGTTGGAGATATAACTAACGAAAGTATATATAAAAGACAGTCTAAGATCATTAGGTAAACTTTCTACTTTGTTAAACTCTACTTGTCACTTTCCAACCAATGGATCATTTTTATTTAAGAAGAAGTTACTCAGCTTTTCAGTTCGCATATTTATTTGCCATTTCAGCAACTTTCGTTGAAAAGGTTATGTAGGGGATGGGTTCTATTGAGCGACTTCATAAATATATCCTTGAGCTTCTACCCTCCCAATAGGGAAACAGAGATATCAACTCTGTACCCACCTAAGCCTTGTTGTATTTGGTTAGTATTGGTTATGCAGTAGATAAAAACAATCTATTCAAACTACTTATTCTGCAACCCTTAACCTTCTGAATTATATTGGAACTCGTCTTTTGCAGATAAAGAAAATGAAAGTAATGCAAATCATAACTTCTATGTCCTCAAAAAGCCTATAAATCCTTGATCATTCCTTTAGCTAAGAATGACTAAGAGAATAACTTTAACATCTGATTTTTTTTTCACTATTTCCTTAGTTTTTCTCCTCGTTATTCATCCATGACACGATTTGTTAAGACTATGACTATGTAATTGTCGTTGTTTATTTTTCTTATCACTTCTTGACCCTATTTTGACTGTCTATGAGTCTACATTCCAGTGTCGTTTTAATCTGTTGTATTTAATATTCCTTTTCTCAGCATTAATTCTATAGTTATTGACATGATTACCATAATCACTCACGATATATTTTGCGACATACATCAGTGACGAACAGATCGTCACGACTGACTTAATTTTTATAAGTATGTTGGAGATATGTGTGTTAGAGAGAAGCCTATTGTGGACATAAGTTAAAAAAAACAATACGATTGGCTCATAGTATCTTGTTCTAAGTTGAACAATGGGGATTTTCAAGAATCTCTAGATCGTTATCGCATGAGCCCAGTGTTTTGCATAATTTGTAATATACTCCCAAGTAGTATATATGATTGTGAATACTTTTTCAAAAGTAATGTAAATCTTACAAACAAGTTAAAGTTTATTTAGAATTTTTTTGGAGGAGATTTGAATATCAACAATACATTTCGAAAGCATGATAATTAATACGGTAAGTCCACTTTCTTGATATTGTACATTGTGTTGTGAACATTTTATTTCGAAATAGAACAACGATGGAACAGCAAATTTAGATCTCATGTAATTTTGTTATTCTCACCTTCAGCTGTTTACTTTGACCACTTAATTTATTGTTTTTTGAGGGATTCATTTATCTCAAGGTGGTTTTCAACGCCGGTTGACATCAATCTGAGACGTATTGGAAATCTGGGAGCACTGGAAAGCCGTTTCATCCTAGAATAGATGCGTACCCACGCAGTACCTCAAGATCTTCAGGGAAGCACCTTACCATTTAGACAGTGAAATAAAATACAGTGGTCTAAATTTCCTACTTCGGTCAAATCACGACATAGCATAACTATCAGCCAAAAACCTCAGTTAGCATCCTATGGCTGGGTCGTTCATGTCCACTGCCAAGAAGTCTTATATTAGAGCTCAATAGCTGCCCAGTACTCTTAGGTATTCATTGGTTTTGCAACTGATTTAAATCCATCATGAATACAATTCTGATTTAAATTCATACTTCCGTGTGCATCCTGTTTTATATAGTAGTAAAGAACTCCAGAAAACAGCGCTGCTTCTACACCCTTACACTCAAAGAATTATAATTAATTAGTCAGATTGAAGTGGGATTCTAATCAAAAAAATGACTGAGTCTTCTTTTCTAATGGATCTTAGCAAAGGCTTTCATCGTTGCCAGAAACGAGTGCTTCGGAAGGTAATAAACCTTATCGGCTGAAAAGAAAAGCATATCGTTTAGCAAACTACATTTGTGTGACGTTTACTGCATTACACCAGAAGTAAGATTTTAGTTAACCACAGTTAGTCATTTCAAACAAATACCACAGAGCTTATTCAAAGGAACAAAGCAGTAAGATGCAATTTATAAGTGATTAAAAGAAAAACGAAAAAGTATGGCGATGTGATCGTGTTTACTACAAATCGAAATTCTCAGGTGAATATTTCACTTTCTAACTAAAGCCTATTGATGATATTATTTAGATACATATAGATAGTATCTTACATCATTGTAAAACGGCGTAAGTCATTACCTTAACAGCAAAATGTCAAGGCGTCCCATCAGACAGACAGACAAAATCAACATAGAACCACGTACATAGGTGCGTCAGGCCAAGTTGCCACACTTCATAGTAGTATACAAAGAGTAAGTGGATAGAAAAAGAGTGATATCAGAGTAGGTGAAGTTGTGTGAGATAGTAAACAGTCCGAAGAAAAAGGTTAGTGGAAATATCTAAGCTTTAGAAGATATCGAGGAATGAATACATCTGCGCCATCGTGACCGATTTTCAGCCCCACCAACAAGAGTTTTCAACCACTGATTCCTATCGACTCGAGCACCCCAGCCAGACAGTCTACATCTCTCAAAACGAATCAGCCCAACAGTCAGAGACTTCGTGCACTGGTGCCACGTCTTAGTCTGGTCACTCTTAACCATCTTTCAACCTAATTTAGTACCCTCCAGCATAGTACATCGAGATAGGCGGTGGGTCGGCATGAGTAAAACATGTCCAAGATATCTCAGTCGACTAAATTTCACAACTTCATCAGTCAACATACCTGTCTTGTCTATTACCCTTCGCTTGACCTCAATATTGCAGCAAGTAAGAGGCGGAAGGATATAGTGGTAAGAATAACACAAACAATAATCATAAGATCAACAAAAGGTAGACTAAGGAGCTACAGTAAGGATATTGTTGATTGATAATATTGAAGTTATGGAGATATCTTTCCCCTTGTTGGGATTTTCTCATCAGGAATTCTATTTTTGGCGTGACTTGCCCAAAGTTCAGGACTATGCTTATAGATGAATATTCTTATTAGGTGAATAAATAGATTTTTAAGAGAAAAGCAAGCAAGTAGAAAAGTGCATGGAGGTTTATCACGTAATGGTATTTCATTCCCTCTATACATATACCGATTACGTTTGATCTTTGACCAAGAGATTTTCTTGAATGTCCTATTGTTTCACGCAATATATATATATATATATATATATATATATATATATATATATATAGCCGTGAAAATGAGTTGTCGCAAAGATAATTGTCTTCGCTGTAACCTTCTATTTCTCAGTGAGTAAATAGATGTGTTGTTATCAGCTACAGGAAAATAATGACTGATGTATGTTCCACGTTATTTAAGGTCAGTTTTCTGAATGTAACTAGATTTTAGGCTACTTTCGTCTTAAAACCGCATCTTTTATCTAACGTGTATAATTTCTGTCATTAGGATGTTTTTCGATGGATCACTGCGTCTCTTATCCACTATCTTGTAAAGTGCATTGGAACTGGATACCTTGAGTGGTAGTACTGATGAACTGACATGACTGAGTACTGATAAATATATTCTCATGAATTTTGAAGATGATATTTAGAAGACTATAGAAGTAGTCCATATGACTTTGGACACCTATAAACGTAGTCTAAAAAGGTGAAAACAACAGATTTATGTGTTTAAGTTTGTTTTAACTAATGTGTTGTTTAAAATACAACTACTTACACTGGCGGTAATTATGATGAATACTTTAGATAAAAAGTTCTGGCTGAATATGTTATAACTTGTAAGTTTCTGTCATTGATTAGACTGAATTGGCCAGCTACTATTGTTAACTTGCTTCCTGTTTAGCTGATTCGATATTGTAGTGTCTTAGTCCGAACAGGATCAGTCAGTGGGAGACAAGTACGTCCAGTTGACCAGTCTCAAAGAGGACGAAACCTACGTCCTAAATTCAACTCCTAGCCACTATTTATCATTATTGTCTGAGGTTGACATGTTCCTTAAAGATACATTAAAAGTAGTAATCATACAGTTAAGGTCAATAACTAATCTCACTACTTCTTTCAACTGCAACCCAACTGATTTCTAATGTACTGTCCCACTGTACTTATATCCGCAACCGTAAACCAATGTGGTGGGATTCAATATTCAGCGGAGAGAATTTATATCATACAAAGAGTTAAAAACTTTGCTGTTGTTTAGACAAAAAGAAAACAAAAGCCAGTATTCAACGTCCAATTCTTCAGGAGATAATTACTTTAATGTAAAACAAGTAAAGTTAATGTTCAATATAAAAGGTTAATTTCAGTAGAATATTTACCCTTTCGGATGCTTTTCTAATTCATGTAGTAATGTATGATCAACATATTGAAATACCAAGTGTAAACGACGTTTGCGTTTGAATACTTCAATTAAATTTATCAAATTTGGATGTTTCAATTGCTGTAGAAAACACAGAAAGATAAGGCACTGAGATAAAACAAAAGTGATCATTGAACTGTTTGGTATTTATTTAAAAATTATTACCTTGGAATTGCGTATTAGTTCAATCATCTTTTTATCATATTAATCATGGATATTAATGGTGGGATCCACGACGTGCGTTCTGTCCTATTTCGGAATCATCAACCTGATTTACCCACCTCGCGATGAGTGATGTTGTTACCACTAAGACTGGAACTCAGGACAAATCGCTTCGAACGCCAAATTGTTATCCACTAGGGCGTTGAGTCAAGACAGTCACTTCTTGTGCGATGAGTAAGGTATAGTTTTGTTGTTATTGTCTGTGAATCTTGACTGTTGAGTGGACCGAATTAATCCGACAAAATACCGGCAATATCTGGACATCCCCACAGGAGCCCATAAGCCAGTAGTAGCCAACCAGTTTGGTCTGATCAACGACAAAGATTCACCAGTTATGACATTAAGACTATCTTTTTAGCACTTTTTTATTACCATCCGGTTTCCATTCTTCAGGGAACAGTAGTAAAGAAATACTAACCATTCTATATTAAGATCACCTTTTGTAATGTTATATGGGTAGATATCACAGTTGCTGATTATTGCATGTTGAAGACTACACTTTACTCTTGGCACTATGATTTCATTGACGTAACAAGTTAATTTGCCATAATACCTACATCTCTTGATAGTATCATACATAAAGTCAGGAGAGAGAAATTGTAGTCAAATTCTACCTAGTCTGTAAACGGATTAAGTTCAGTAACCATATATACGTTCATACACTAGACAATGAGCTACACTAAGTCTACGTTGGTCTATAATATCTACCTACCTGACTTTTGAAGTCTAAGTAGATGATGCAGGAATTGTGTCACTGACTGACTAGTTTAAGGATGACTGCGCAAACCAACACAAGAACAACTCATCTAATATGAGTTTAGTGGTAAGTATGGATGGATCTTCAATCAACATTCAGCATGACTATAGCCAAGCATTTCAGTTAGGAACTACATATTTAACAGAAATTAAAATAAACTATCATGATCAAGCCAAAGACACAAGTGGAAGGTATCAATAAGTATAGATCGATAAGAGATTTTAGGTTTAAGAAATGTGTAAGATAAATGAATACATTCATCACTAGGTCTGATATAAATAATTTCTGGCCACTGACTGCTAGCATGCTATAGATTCTAGCCAGGCAGATGACACACATATTGATTTCATACATCAGGGTCATTTGATAACTCAGCTATGCTTTAGTTTGTTTCCAGTTAGTTTCAGTGCAACGATTTTTAAACAGCTTCCAGTAACGTAAAATGTTGTTAGTCAACAATTATAAATAATCTAACTACCTACTCTGACTAACATTTTTAATAGTTTGTACTTATAAATTCCATCACATAAAATTTATTCTGTGACCAAATACCTGTGACACCAACATATCGTAAATCTTCATAAATCATATTTTTAAGCTGTAAAGTAGAATGAAAAGGAGTGTTATATACTATACTTACCTTTCATAGACAGCTAAAGATATCTGTCAATTCTGTCAAAGTAGAAGCATAATGAATCAGAATGACTGACAGAAAAGTGACAGAAGAAAAAAATCTCAATCACTGGACTCTGATCCAGCTGCCTAGTGATCCCACACTCTCAGTGGTTTCTTAACTGATGGCAATCCGTGGCGAATATCACCTTGGATATGCCATATAGTATTTCACTCAATAAACTTACTATTTCATAAATGCGAATCAACAAAAGTTGAATAAAATTATAATCAACAAATAGAAAGACGCAATAAAATGAAAAGAATGAATACGTACAAAATTATCTTTTCAAAATTATGCATATATATCATTTAGTAATCATCAGAATTAATGATGGATAGTGGCTAACAGTGGGATCCAGGACGCGCGTTTCGTCCCATTTAGAACTCATCAGCTGGATGTGACTAACTCCCAGTGATTGATGTTATTCCCACTGGAACCTGGACTCCGGGTCGATCGCTTCAAACGCTAGAGCGTTATCCACTAGACAACTGAGCCATGATAGCCACTTCCTGTGCTAAGTCTATAGTTTTTAATATTGTTGCTTGTATCATCTCATCGTTGGTTGGACCGAATTGATCGGTCTCTATTAGCACTTGGGCTCCTGCGCGAATGCCTCATCCTATTTAAGACTCATCAGCTGGACGAAACGTCCTTCTTGGACACCACTGCTTACTACTGTCCATCATTGATATATAACTTCAACACAGACAATATCAAGGCATCCGTGCAAGAGCCCAAATGCCAACAGAGACCGATCAATTCGGTCTAGTCATCGATGATATAATACAAGCAACAACGTTAATAGTCACAACCAATTTGTTAAGTAATGAAAGCCTACTTTAAGTGTACGGATCTCTCGCATTGCAATTCTGTGAATAACTGGATCTTCTTCAGAATCTGTGAACTTTTTTATAGCAACTATGTCACCAGTATCACGATGACGACATTTAAACACAACACCGTAGGCACCTTCTCCTATTCTTGTCAATTTTTCATAACGATCCATTCTAATAAAAAATAAATCTGAATATGAACAAGTTGAAAAAAATTGTTAAATCAATATTTATGTATATGCTTTTATAGCTTAGGAAGATATTTACTCATGTATGACATGTTAAAAGCACTACAGTTGTAATAGGACTACAGGTAATAAAACTTAAGTTACGCTGAAAAATAAAGTATTCCTGCTTTTAGTGTAACATAAGAAAGAGAGTGATTGAGTAGCTATCGTTTTGTACCAGTATGCATTTATACTGGGTGATGACTGAAGGTGAGATGAAAATTGCAACCGCAGCCGGATTCGAACCAGCAAACATCGGGTTTCCGGCCCGATGCTCTACCTACTAAGCTTCAGTTAGATTTGGATTGAGATGAGAAGTCCTGACTAGGCAGCCAGTGTGAATACGACCAACCGGTAGTAACGCGTCAGGAATTCATATGGTAGTCGGACAAAACCCATAGGGGTTGAAGTGAAATAAAAATCTGGTCAGTAGTCGAGCTTCGTAGCTCAGTTGGTAGAGCATCGGATCGGAAACCTGATGGTTGCTGTTTCGAATCCGGCTGTGGTCCAAATTTTCATTTCATCTTCAATCATCACCCAATATAAATACTAGTCTGCCAAACTACGGCTATCTCAGATAGCCAAATGATAACTAATATGTATATCTAAGTATACCGTAAAGAATTCTATGATACACGTCGAACATATTCTCAAAGTAAATGGAATTAGTTAGCGACTATCAGTAGCTGGCTTATATGAAAGTAGTTTACATCATTGATTAACATCAAATTCAGAAAGTGGAAGTACTGGACGGCTATTTTGCCTCCGGTTTTGGGAGATCCTTAAGAAGTTATCTTCTTCCATTCAGTAACAGATTTAGTTCAACTCAAGTATTCAGTCAACAGTCCAATTATTCCAACTTATGTAAACTTGTAGTGCAGTATGGTCATCATCTAGTATCATTCGACCCTAACTTCAACTTGGTTTTCTTCGTACATCAAGGTTTTTAAGTGTATGAATTATACCCTGTTCATTAGAAAATCTGATATTCTTGGGTTCCATCATTCTGTTCAGGAGTCCTAAAATTGGATGAAACAAATGTCCACTGGTTACAGATTTTTAGGGATTCTTTAGATGATGTCAGCCCTCAATAAAGACTACTTCGTCATCTGAATTGGTCATTATTATTATTCGATAAATTCAGTATCAGTATCATGCGGAGATTTTCGAGGACGTATGGTGCTCATTGAAATTTTTAAAGATGACTGACCCACTGCAAACCATCGAAGAAATTTTTCAGTCTGTTTTAACGAGAGACAAAGTTATATTCATACGGAACAAAATGGTGAAATAGAAGCTAGGCTGGACACAAATTCTAAATTTTCTTGTATAAATCATTCATAACTATCAACAATCAACGTCTAACTGTCACTGTATAAAAGAAAATTATGAATACAGTATTGTGTTAAGAGAATTGGGTGCAGTTCTACAATCAAAATTTAAGCTGACAAGGTCGAGAAATATGTCATAATGAGGTAGTAAGGTGATAATGGCACAAAAAAAGCATTCTCCAAAGGTAAAATCATCACAAACGTGAAGTTCACTGTAATTATAATGTCTGAACAAAGTCTTTCTGTATGCAGAGTTCACGTCTTAAAATATGAATCACCATGGCCTCCACAGATTGAAGAAGTTTTATTCCCACAGCATTTGCTGAGATTCCCACATCCTCTGTAGATGAAACTGCAGTTAGATTGTAGATTAACTTAGTGTCTAAAATCAATAAACTGTCCTGAAATTGAACAGCGAGAGGATCTTCTTTCTCCCTGTAAGATTAAGATGAAATGTGCTCAACTATTCGCTTTGAAAGCAGACTCTGAGTAAGACCAACATATCTTGCTCTATAAAAGCAGGTAAATACTCTAAAATACTCTAACTGAAAGCAACAACCATGAACGGTTCACTATAAAGGACATTAAACTAGGGTCACCCAACCCAAATACGTTTATAGTTCATAAAATGCTGCTCATCTTGAAACTAAGATTCAATGGAGATTTGTCGGCGAAAATATTACAAAAGCATTTTTTCACGTAACCAATGATTCGATTATGGTCTCTATTAATTATCCTGCTCCTGTGAAGCATGGTGTGTTGGCCTTACTTAGAGTCTGCTTTCAAAGCGAATAGTTGAGCACATTTCATCTTAATCTTACAGGGGAGAAAGAAGATCCTCTCGCTGTTCAATTTCAGGACAGTTTATTGATTTTAGACACTAAGTTAATCTACAATCTAACTGCAGTTTCATCTACAGAGGATGTGGGAATCTCAGCAAATGCTGTGGGAATAAAACTTCTTCAATCTATGGAGGCCATGGTGATTCATATTTTAAGACGTGAACTCTGCATACAGAAAGACTTTGTTCAGGCATTATAATTACAGTGAACTTCACGTTTGTGATGATTTTACCTTTGGAGAATGCTTTTTTGTGCCATTACTACCTGATTACGTTTTCTATCTTTATGACATATTCTCCTACTTTATCGGTCTACTGTTTGATTATTGAACCATATTCTTTCGAATTAAACCTATGACATTATGCAGCTTAGTTAGCTTGTGTTACCCATTGTCACTGAAACAAAATTTAACTCGTGTTTAATCTTATGAATGCAAACACTGACTAACAACATTCTGTAGTCTTTATTTTAAACGCTTACTACCCAACTAACCCTTTTTATATTGGCAATTGTGTACATGAATATGTCTGCGGTTAATAAACATTTTAGAAGATGCATCCTAAAAGCTTACTGGGGTTCGCTGATCCACTGAGAAATGTGCTGATTAAACAGGAATGTAAAGGAAAAGAACCGTAGTATATATACTACTTAATGAATAGTTGGAAACCCTTGTAACTAACCAGTACTACTTGCTAACCATTTCATAAATTCATCACCTACTAATATAAGAGTACGAACTTGGCCTGTGGTAGTGCACAATTGAAGATTAATTTGTTTGTCGAATACTTAACACAATGAGACAGTAGTATTTACTGGATAACGTTTCTCTTTCATTTATCGTATTGGTAGTAGAAATTTCTCAAGTATCTAGTATGAGTGTTGAATCACTCCTACTGTATGTGTACAATGTCTATTCGATAAGCAAAGCTTCAGTTATCCATGTGGGATTAGAGTGTCATTTAAACCTACAAACTCAGAAACAAACTCCCTAGCCTTAGGGATCCCACAGAACCTGTTCGACAAAATACCCAAGCATATCAAATTCCATGCGACGACTGTCAGGTCGTATACATAAGCTAGGGTAGTCAACTGGGAAAAAAACCTGTCCAAATCTAGGATGGTAAGCCACAGTAGTGAGGAATCTAGAGAAAAACCCAGCCATTACGATGCATACGATCATACATAACCATACAGCAGGATCATAAAAATTGATATTCCCTAAATCTGAATTATGGGGATAGAGGGAGAGTTTGATACCCGAAGCTTGATTCATTGATTCAACACCGAGCATATGTAGTAGAAGTGACCCCACACCTATGCCGCATATTTGAAAATTTTCTACTACCAATACGATTAATGAAGGAGAAGAAATGGAGCCATCAGAACACCATGTGAAAGATATGATGTTGTTTTTGATATGAATGCGAACAGTATATTGCGTTTGAAAAATCATTCTATACATAATACTGTCTCAAAAACACGCCTTCATCGGTTATTAACTGGAAATATCATTCTCAGCATGAAGCAAGGGTCATGAAAACACTCGCTATGTTGGCAGATGGGCTTCTGTGCAGATGTCTCGATATTGCCGGATATTCATGATGTTATTGTAATCTTGGAGAGAGACAGGAAGAAACACGGGTCCTGGATTCCTCTGCTAGTCACCAACATCAATATGATTTAAGGAAGTTAATTAATACACATTTGGGTTTAGATTGGGAAAATAGACAGAGGATTATGAAAGTAGAATTGTAACTGCATAATTAAAATTTTTATTTTCATAAACCTTTGCTCATTTTCCCAATTCGTCATACATTTATCCTGCACTGCATAATTAAACTTGACTTTATAATCGCTTTAGTATTTCCCTACTCTAAACCCAAATGTGTACTAATTAACTTTCTTTAGTTAGTCAATGTATTTTTCCCCTAACCGAAGATAGTTCTGGAACGTTCTACTTAGCGTTACATATATTCACGAGTTTACAGTTTAGTAAATGACTTCATCGAAAAGAAATATTTTTCTCTGCTGCAACCACGTTCTATAAGAAATATATAATCAGCAATTTTACTTATGATGAATAAACATAATTTGATAACACTTTCTTTATTACTCACACAGACAGACTTAGCAACACAGAATTTCACATAAAATCGTTGTGCATTTAAGTTTCTATACTTTTCAGCTGTACATGAATAGAAAGAAGAACAACAGAAATAAAAGCATGATGAAATCAATAAAAAACTACAGGAAGGAAAATGCTCAGAATTTAAAAGGTGATGCACCAATAAGATCATTCTGATTCATAACACTGGGATATTTTGGAAGTGATTCAAAGCATACTAAAGATCATATGTAGGTAACCTGTACGGCTAAAAGTAATATTTAGCAGTTTATTTCTGCTGAAGGCTGAACGTTACGAAGTACCTCAACCAACATATTACGACTTAGTCACTGTTTCAGAATTATGTGAGTTACATTAACAGTTTCAGAGCAGTCAAATCAAATCATCGTGGGCTGATGTAAGTTGGAGGAATATTGGAAACCCAGGAGGACTGGACAGCTGTTTCGTCCTAGTACGGCACTCTTCAACAGTGTGCACCCACGACCCTACTCCGCCAGGGATCGAACCCGCGACCTTCAGGCAACGTAGCCAGCACGTTATCATCGACCCATTGGCTTAGAATCAAGTGGTCCATATTTCCAAGTTCAGTCAGTTCACGATATGTCGCTACCTACATCCAATGTCGTCGTCGAGTTACTGTCCTTATGT